GCCCACCTGGGTTGTAAATCCGGCCCACACCCCGCGCTGCGAAGCCAAGACTCCCAGCGATGGCGACGGGAGGAAGAGGCTGAGCAGTGGTGGCTCTGCCACTCAATCACTGAGCCTGGTTCACCTCAGCTCGGCACGGAGATGTCTCTGCCAATCAAACGCAGCGCCTGGTTTACCTCAGTGGCGTTTGATTGGCAGAGACGTCCCTGCACCACACCGAGGTAAACCAGGCACGGCGTGTGATTGGCAAGCCACCGCCGTTCGGCCTCTTCCTCCTGTCGCAAGGAGGCAAGGCAGCGCCCCCCGCCGGCTCTGGCTCCTCCTGCCTCGCCACCTCCGGAAGTTCATTTCTCCCTCCTGCCAGCTCCCACCTGGGCCGCCAGGAGACCGGCAGGAGACGCTGGATGCACAGACACGAAGAGCCCTAAAGATGCGCTTACTCGCAAGTAAGCAGCAATCGTTTCAAGGCCACTTGTTCAGTGCCTAAAGATGTGCTCAAGCCCACCCACTGAGATGAGATAAAATGCGCTCCTGGGAAGGTAAACGCAGTGGCCGGCTGCCCTCACCTCTTCTTCCAGCCCCCCCCCCCCCCGGTGCCACTTCTCTGGCCCCCCACAAGGTCTGAGGAACAGTGGACCAGCCCACGGCTAAAAAAAGTTTCCAACCCCTGTTCTTATCCATAGAGCAGTAGCCTTATCCTACTGCTACCTTTCATTCGCTATTGAATTTACCTTGTTTTTGAAGCCTGAAGGAAAACTGTCTGTTTACCAGTTTCTCAGCAAATTATAGCAAGGGCATGGCGTGCTACAACTGGAAATAAATGGGAGTGCTTTTTCCTAATTTAGGAACAGACATTTTGTATCAGTGTTTTCATGCCATTGGAAAACATGAGTACTGTACATCAAATCTTGAGAATGTTTTCAGCAGGACTTTCCTTTCTTGGAAAATAATGCTACTGTTACATTGTTTATTTGTGACTTTAAAACAAAGGCAGTCATGATTTAAGAGATTCAATAGTGGTTAATTGATAACTTATTAGGTTTGTTTCCCAGCCCTCTCATGATATTTGTTCTGTAACAACAACACCCTTTAAGCAGACATACATGCTCATGGGATGGTTTACAACTGTACATTCATCATTTGATAACTACATTGGTGATTTGTATATGTGAAGAATTCCTCACTAATCAGACACTATGGACGGAACTTGTACATTAATTCATTTTTTTTTTAAATTTTTTTTTTTTTGAACAACAAAGAAAGAAAAGAAAAACATACACAATACATATAACAAAAACACACACAAAAAAAGCAAGATTCAACAATAAAAGAACAAAAAACATAACAATTAAAAACAATATCTCTTTTCCATTTCCGTTTTTTAGTTACTTATTTTCTGGACTTCCTCATACCTCCCTCTTTTGTATTCCAATCCAAATTGTTTGTCCAGCAATTTCTTTTCCACTTTTTAAATCCCAATCTTTAGCTTTAATAAGATATTGAAATATATAACTTCAACTTCTTTAAACCTGATCTTTGGTCTTAGTATCATATAACGTTAAAATTTTTCCTCTTAATGTCAAATTTCCATTTCTTTAAACATCTTTAATCCTAATCTTTAATCTTAGTCTATCATTAGCTTTAACCTGTACAGCTGGAAACCGCTTATTTTCAGTCCAACATCACTCTAACATTCTTTAATTTTGCAATGTTTCTGAAGATAGTCTTTAAATTTCTTCCAATCTTCCTCCATCGACTCTTCTCCCTGGTCACGGATTCTACCAGTCATTTCCGCCAATTCCATATAGTCCATAAGTTTCATCTGCCATTCCTCCAGCGTGGGAAGTTCTTGTGTCTTCCAATACTTTGCGATGAGTATTCTTGCTGCTGTTGTTGCATACATAAAGAAAGTTCTATCCTTTTTTAACACCATTTGGCCGACTATGCCCAGGAGAAGGGCCTCTGGTTTCTTGGGGAAGGTATATTTAAATACCTTTTTTAATTCATTATATATCATTTCCCAGAAAGCCTTAATCTTTGGGCACGTCCACCAAAGGTGAAAGAATGTACCTTCTGTTTCTTTACATTTCCAACATTTATTATCGGGCAAATGATAGATTTTTGCAAGCTTGACTGGGGTTATGTACCACCTGTATATCATTTTCATAATATTCTCTCTTAAGGCATTACATGCCGTAAATTTCATACCTGTGGTCCATAACTGTTCCCAGTCAGCAAACATAATATTATGTCCAACGTCCTGTGCCCATTTAATCATAGCCGATTTTACCGTTTCATCCTGAGTATTCCATTTCAGCAGCAAGTTGTACATTAATCCAAATACAATGCAGTTTACAGAAGCAAAATGAGGTGACAGTTTCAAGTGGTAAAACTGACTTTGGTGTGTGGAGGTTGGCATTTTTAAATCAACCCCTGTGTAAAGGGGAATGTAAAGAAGAAAACTAGGACTGCAAGGCATAAGCTATAATAGAACTTTTCACCCCAAACTGCTCATTCTTTACTTGCAGTGTCTTTTAAAAAACCCAGCAGCAAGCCCTACCCAGAGGCTTGTGATCTAATGCATGTTATAGACAAGGGAATATATATATATATAGGGAGAGAAAACAGTATAGCAAACAGTCAGCAAGTGATAGGGTGACATATATGCTCCACCATGGAGGTGTGCCATTAGTTAACATAAAGAATCCTTAGTCCTCAGTTGTCACGTGTAAGGTGTATTCTGCATCCAGGTTCCACTTTGATTTATGACTTTACTAAGCTATCAGCCTTCTCTCATGAAACTCACCATCTCTAAATGATTAAGGGAATACGTGTGTTTCTACCCAGATACTGAACTTTAATTTTATTTGCATGGTGTCTTTACTGATAGCTCATTCTAGTTCTTCTCCCGCAAGTGACTTGCTAAGATTTCTCATAATCTGGGGGGTGCCCGTATTGTCTAGAGAAGCATTCCCCAACCCTTTCCCGACTGTGACCCCCTTCTGACCTTGTTTCCTTCCTGTGGCAACTTAAAGTGAAGTTTATTTCGACTGTGACTTAGCATTATGTGTGAAACAAGCCAGCGCACAGTTACACTGTGAAACTGAGACCACAGGATGGAGTGATTGCCACCAACACGGACGGCTTTAAAAGGCAGTTAGACAAATGAATGGAGAATAAGACTATCAAGAGGGGCTCCTCATAATGGATGGGGCTTCAGTCTTGGAGAAGGTATGCCTCTGATGACCATGAGTGGGGAGAATCTGCGGTGCTCATGTCACAGTGTAGCAGGAACCCCTCCCCCCAATCATTCAGTTTGTACAAACTTCACACACACTCACACTCACACACTACATACGCTACGCTTCTGTTATAAATTCATAGAAAATCAACCATACATCGGATTTGCACCGTTCCACTTTTATTTTACTCCATGAAGGAAGGACTACAAAATTGGGAAGGTTTGATACAGGGCAGCCATAATCCCTTCACCATCCCAGCACATCCACAGGAGCCCTGCCCAGTTGCTATGCCAACCCTGATGGTCCTAGACAGAAGACCATCAAGATCACAAAGAACTTGCATATGGGAGTGGATTCGGCACGGACTGGAACAAAGGACAATAATCAGCTCTTCCCTCTGGGGGCAGGAAACTGCAAACTCCCCTCTGTCACCTGGAAAGTACTCATGGGGAGGGGGAAAGGGGGAACCAGCCAGGTGACAGGACACTCATGTTACCACCACAGCTCCTCCCTCAACCCCTCCTTTCTGTGATGTATGTAGGATGTTTCTGGGGGTGGTCTTGATCTACAGGGTGGCAATTTCAAAAGTCTTTCTAAGACCTTGCACACCATTTTTCTGGGTCCCTCCTCTCTCCTGCAAGTGAGGGGAGCACCCTGTTGCAACAGTTCAATAAAGGCCAAGCCTACAGGCTGCTGTTTTGCTCCAAGTTATCCTGGTTGGTGTCTTTGTTTTTGTCCAAGGGAGCCCTCGGATTTTTCCGTTAACAACAGAGACACAGGACTATAGAGATGGAAGAGACCCCCGAGGGTCATCTAGTCCACCCCCTGCAATGTCCGGCATGAGGCTTCCCATAGGCATCCGGTGCGAGAGAGTTGAGAGAGTTTCTACTCTGATCCAGCAAGGCTCTCCTTATGTTCATGATTACACATTATCCAAATTCTGTAATGTAGGCAAATCACATTGACAAGTAGCTAACTCTCAATTCTGCAGAGAACTCCGTTATAGCAAATGCAAACCAGCGTTTCCCCTCTCCCGTTTTGTGAACCTTCTCCCCTCCTCAAGCGTATCGCCATTTCGTACTTATGTATTTACATGTTTTAAAAGGGTTTTCGTATTTCTACCTGGTATTGGCTTGTGCAATTAAATCAGTTGATCTGCACTTAATTGCACCAATCCAAGTCCCATCTCAGCAGCAAGTCTTAAAACAGTGCAGAATCGTATTTTCGCCTCGTCACTTCTGGGTTTCTCTCTCTGGTTTTATTTGGCAAAACTTTCCCAGTTGCGGGGGGGGGGGGGGGCAAAGTCACGTTGCAAATCCACGTGCCAGAGGGAGCCTGGAGTGCATCGGGCGAGGAGCGGCGAAGCGACGGGTTTGCGGGCGGAGAAGGCTGAGCCAAGAGGCGGGAGGGGGGGTCGGGCCACCTTTTCTCTCCCGGCTGACGGGCAAACGCAGCAGCTGCCGCAGCCTTGTCTTCCTGCCGTCTCAGGCGAGCAGCGCGGGGCCCGGGATGTCGGCTGAGCTGCCCCGCGAACTTTGAAAGTGGCCCGAAGGCGCGCGGCGCTCGCGATCTTCTTCCCGCTGGTCGCCGCCCGCATTCAGTGTAAGCGGCCTGCCCTTGCTCCGCGGTAAAGGAAGAGTTGCAAGCCGATCGCGGCTGATGCTCCAGCTTCAGAAGGACGAGGCCGGGCCGCTGACCCGCCGAGCTGAGGAACTGGGGACCCTGGATCTCTGGTGCTGAGCCCACTGGATCAGTGGCATGCTGAAGTCAGTTTACCGCGTGGGTGTGTAGTGCTTGGGTGGTTTTGTTATATTGCACTTCGAAAAATCCTTTGTTGAAAAGTGCATGATAACTTAAAAAAAAACAAAAAAAGTCCAGTAGCACCTTAGAGACCCACTAAGTTTGTTCTTGGTATAAGCTTTCATGTGTATGCACACTTCTTCAGATACTGGCATGCACACGAAAGCTTATACCAAGAACAAACTTAGTGGGTCTCTAAGGTGCCACTGGACTATTTTTAAAAAATTTTTATATATTTTATATATTTTGACTGTGTCAGACCAACATGGCTACTACCTGAATTAAAAATATATATATAATTGAATTTGAAACATATTTTAGGAAAGTAAGAGATTTTTAGCAACTGTGGCAACATTAAGTCATGTTGAATTTTGCTAATGTGCGTGATCGGCTTGCTTCTCAATAATAAATAACGAGAGCGCTTCCAGGTCTTCTGTGTGTTTCCTATGCAGTACAGTATGCGCACCTTTGAAATAGTGCTCTTCGAGGATACAATTTGATACAGTGGTACCTCTGGATGCGAACGGGATCCCTTCCGGAGCAGAACGCATCCTGAGCAGAACGCAAACCACGTCTGCGCATGCATGGGTCGTGATTCGCCGCTTCTGCACATGCGCGTGACGTCATTTTGAGTGCATGCGCAAGCAACAAAACCTGGAAGTAACCCATTCCCTTACTTTTGGGTTGACACGGAACGCAACCCGAAAACGCTCAACCTGAAGCTACTTTAACCCGAGGTAATGACTGTACTTGGTCAATGCAGGCAGAGAAGGAAAGGGTAAGCTGGAGGAGCTGGAAGCAAGGTGGTTGCACTGCGGCCCCACAAATATACAGAATTCAAGCACAGTTTATTTGGGAGTAATTCCCACTTAGCGCAACGGGGATTGATCTTAAGTGAATAGGTGGTAGGACCCGGCTGCACAAACCTTAAGGAATCTCCAGATCTGTTCCTTTAACCTTGTGCAACTTTCAGCGCAATCCTGTGCTTATTTGAAACCGTCTTGAGTAAATTCAGCAGCACAGCACACCTCCATGAAGCCCCGTTGAGTTCATAGAAGCATAGAATTGTTGAGATGGAAGGGATCACGAGGGTCATCTAGTCCAGCTGCCTGCAGTACAGGAATCTTTTGCCCAGCATTCAGTGGGACTTGTTTTTGAATAAGCATAATAGGATCAGGCTACTTGACTTCAACCGTAAGCCTGCTTTTTTAGGTCTAAGGCTGTAAACTTGGGAAAATTTACCTTGAGGTAGGTACCATCAGACCTTTGAGTGAATATGCGTAGGATTGCATGGTAAATCTCATTTAGCTCAGGCTTACCTCAGAGTAACCATGCATAAGATTAGAGTGTACAACAGCCCACTTTAAAAAGAAGGAAATAAGCTTCTCCTTGTTCCCAGCCAAAAAAAGCCAACACCCTGGCTTCATAGACTCATAGATATGCTGAGATGGAAGGGATCCTGAGGGTCATCTAGTTCAGCCCCCTGCAATGCAGGGGTCCCATACAGGGATCGAAACTGCAACCTTGGCCTTAATTCACAAGGCTTTGTTTGCATAGTTTTGCAAGATGAAAAAATGGTACATTCTAAATTGAATACACTTACATATATAGAGATAGATAGATAGATATTTACATGACAACAGCTTGTATCCAGTGCATTACCTTCCCATTTATTGTGCAAGTTGGATTGGTTATCTGAAAAGCAAGATTTTGCGGTCAAAGTCCGCCTCTGGAGAGGTGTTTACCCTGCTTGCAGAGAAAGGAATCAGCCGTTCGAGACTCCCCTAGTGCCAGGCTGACGTCTGTCAAAGACATGCCTCCTGGCAAAGCCCAATTCCCGGGAGAAGTGGCGCGTTGGCTTCCTCCGAGAACCAAGGGGCAGACCTGTCAAAATGTAACCGCCTGAAGCCGACAGAGATTGCTCTTTGTGAATGATCAGTTTTTTCAGATGCCCAAGTAAAACCTGACTTGAGTCGGTCAGCTTAGCACACCGACTAGACCCCCTAGCAGAGTGATGAAGAGGAAGTAGAAATGGGTGTGTTTGTTTCATTTATGTCCTTACCCCACAGTTCTTCCAACAAGCTCAGGGCCTTTCCCTCTTTTTATCCTGGCAGCAACCCTGCTAGGTAGGCTAGACTGAGAGGGGGCAACTAGCTCAGGGTGAGCTTTGTGAGCCAGTGGGTATCTGAACCAAAGTTAACTCTGCTGAGTATGTAAATAGCATTTTAAGCATTTGATGCAGTGCCCAATTAAACCCTGTGGAGGCCCCTAGGCAATCTGAATCTCAGCTCCCTTGTTCATTTGCTATAGTGGGGTAACATGGAACTAAGAAAGCTTGATTGTAATTTTGTTTCAAGATCAAATTGATATTATTTGGTAATCCGCCATATTGGTAATCCTCCTCTGCCTGTTTGGTAATCCGGCAGTGGTTTGATGTGCTTCACACACATTATCCTGTTGGAATCCTTGCAAGAAGGCTTTAAGGCAAGTATTACTATTCCATAAGCCAGATGAGAGAGAGCAGGGCTTCCCTAGGGCACCTACTGAGCTGATTTGAATGTGAGGCTAATGCATAGCTCATGCTGCAATCCTTTACTTACAGTATCTAGGAGTAAGTCTCACTAAGCTCCAGGGACTTACTTCTGAGAAGAAATGTATAGGGTTGCACACTGTCTGTCTTTCAGTCACTTTCTATCACATGCTGCACCACCTGTCTGTCATTAGATTAACCTCTCTACCTCTAGGTTAGATCACTGTAATGTGTTGTATGTTGGCCTGCTTCTGAAGACTGCTCAAAAACTGTATCCAGTGCAGAATTCAGTGCAGACTATCAATTGAGATCTGGTGATCTGAACATACAACTCCATTTGTTGCCCAACTGCACTGGCTGCCAATTTGTTTCTGAGCCCAATTACTCAATTCAAAGTGCGATTTTTTTTACCTACAAAGCCCCACATGGCTCAGACCCTCATAGCTCAAGGCTTTTAAATAAAACAAATCTACTCCAAGAGGTAAATCGTACTGAGTTCAGGGGGCTTACTTGCCAGGGTTGCATGTGTAAGAGTGCAATTCCATGCACTTCTACTCTGAAGTAGAACAGGCCAGTGGAAACTACTCCCAGATAAGTGTGTATGGGTCCTCAGCCTTTGATTTGTCAAATTCAGCAGGATTGTGGCATACACACTATGCCTGCTGTACCTCAAAGAATTCTGGCCACTGTACTTTGTTAAGGGTTGTTAGGAATTGCAACTTTGGGAGGGGTAAGCTACAGTGCCCAGAATTCTTCGAGGGAAGGAATGTGTTTTGCATGTGCTTTAAAGGTCTAGTGTGCATGCAAGTCTCCAAGCATGTTGTGAGCTGTGCTCCAGGAACATGCCATCTTTCTTAATAAGAGTTTTCAAAGCCAGCATTAACCTGCAGCCCTCTGCAAGCCTGTTTGGGAGTAAGCTGCAGTGAGTAAATACGCTAAGGCAGAGGTTTTCAACCTTTTTTGGGTCCACGGCTCCCTTGACCAACTATATTCTTTCTGTGGCACCCCTGTGGGACTCAGGAGCACAGTTATGTCACCCCTTGCCTGCAGAGCCGGCAGCCCCTCTCTTCTCCCCTCTCCTTGGGAGTCCTCTGGGCAGCTGCAGCTGCCACCCCTGGTCTCTGAGTTGCCTCCCTCCCCCCAAAAGGGGTGCCTCTTCACACTGCCCCACAGGGGCCTGGGAAGCACCCCTGGCCAGCCCCAGGCACCATTCCCCTGGGGAGCTTGTAGCCAGGGCTGCTGCAACAAACAGCTGTGCAAGCCTTTGGGAGGCAGAGATGCAAGAGGGCCTCCGAGGAGGGAGGGAAGGAAAGAGGGACAGCATTCAAGTCACCCCAAGGTGCCACGGCACACTGCTTAGCACACCTAGAAACATCAGTTTTCAGTGGAAATTACATAGGCACTTCTCCCTGCCATAGAGGTCAGGGGAACTCAAAACATGCAGCTTAAAGGTGGTTAAGTCGGTGCCATTTGCTTGCAAGTAACTGGGAAAGCTGCAAGGCAAAAGCAGAGTGAGAAGGAAAGGGAGAAACCTTAGACCGGTTTAAAATGGGAGGAGGCTGCTCAGGGCAGCTCAGGAGGGAAATGTGCAATTAAGTGGGAAAATCTCTTGGGAAAGAAATTGTGTTGGGGGCAGCAGAGATTGGGGGAAACTCAAATGGTGTGCCAGTTTCAGCCTGAGCAGGGGCAGGTTGGGATAGCAACCTGCATGATCCGTGGAGGTGGCTCTGCAGGTAAGCAGAGTAGGAGGCGCGTGGCGGGAAAGAAAGAGAAAGGCGGAGATGAAGCGGCTTCATGCTTTTATTGCCTGGCTTCGTGTTTGGGGAAAAATAGGAGAGAAAGCGAAATAATATTTGCTACTGGGCTCTTTTTTTAGGGTCCTCCCCAGTACCCAAGTAGAACTTTGCAGTGCTTGCAAAAGTTCAGAGTTCTACTTTCCTTAATTAACTGCTTCGGCCCAAGTTAATTTTTCCTGCAAGGAAACCCCAGATCCTTCACAACGTACAGGTGTGGCCCTCTCCCTTGGCAGTTTGAGTGCAGAAGTAGGTGGTGTGGAAATCCTTCAGGGCACTTAGGTCCTGAACCCATACACAGCTACATGGGAGTTATTCACACTGAACTTGGACTTAAGCAGAACCTCAAAACAGCAGTCCTGGCAGTTAGCGCCATTTAACTCAATGGGGCTTACTTATGAGTAGACACATATAAGGTTACTTCAAAGTAAACCCCCTTAAATAAAGTAGGAGTTACTTCTAAATAAACATGCATAGGATCTGCCTGCACACATATTGTGGGGAGGAATTTGAAGGCTGAATTAAGAACAAAGGACCTCTTGCAACAGAGTGGAGCAATAGCAGAACAAGACTGGGTCCCTCCAGATGAACTTTCTATGGAGCATTCATCCTGATTTGCTTGCATAAAACTTGTGTGGAAGTTAGATTGTTGCTGGTCTTTATTGAACATTGTGACTATTTCCTTGTGGGATATCATTCCTTCATCCCACTCTTTTCAATGCATTTCCCCATCACTTCCCAAAAAACAAAAGGTCAGATTCTTCTTTAAACTGGGTTTGTTGCACTAAGGTGACAGAAACCTTTCATCCGCTTTAATTGCGCAAACCTAAAATTCCAGTATGCAGGCACATGAAGATGGCAGTCTGTGGCACCCTATAATGAATGAAAAATATTGTTATCCCTCCAAGCCAAGATCATCTGCAGCAGTCATTGTCTGCAAATCCAAGTCTGCCTGCAGGTTCAATTACTACTCAGCTATTTGGGGAGAATACTGCCAGCTTGCTTTTCCTTATATATAAGGGAAGCAGGTAGCTTTCAAAAATATGAGAACAGAAAACTTAAGGGAGGGCTTTGGTGTTTCCCGGGGGGCAGTGACTAGGCCTTCACAGAACCTGCCTCCTCTGGCTATGTCTCCATAAGCATGCAACACTTTGGCTTTGTGTGATAAAAAGATCTCAGTGAGTGTATTTCTGTTTTTGTTAGGGAACTGCTGCTTTGCTCTGTGATGAAGGACAGGCGGAAGGGAGAGAAGGTGGAGCCAAGGAGATGGGCAAAAACAAACCATGTGAGAAGGAATCTTTTTGGTCCTGTGGACCACAGTAATCTGCAGCAGGACATCCAGCACATCTTGTGCACTAGCATGGAAAAGGCAAAGTGGAGGTGGAACTTTGACTTCTGGCAAGAGGTTCCGACTGAAGGCCTGCTGCAGTGGGAAGAGTTGCAGAGCCACGAGGTCCCCCCCTTTTACCATACTTGTGTGGTAAGAGAGGCTCCCAGACCCTTGCAGCCCATGAACTGAGCCGCAGCCAAGGAACCCAAAGCTCGCCACAATGGCAAAGTGATGGAGAAACCCCCAAAGATGGCAGGGAAGAAGAGTCGGCCTGGGAGGAAGCGGAGGCGGACCTCATTGACTGGTAAGCAGCATTTGCACTTTCATTTAATGTTTGTTGCTACCAGTATGCAGCACCACATGACAAAGGATGCACAACCCAGAAAAATCACTATTCACATGTCAGGTATTTGGTAATACAGAAAGTCATGTTGTAGTAGCTGTTCCACTCCCAGTGGTGTCCTGCATTTTAAAATTGAATTAGGAAGGCTGGGAAAGTTACAACTTTTCCCCACTGTGAGATGGCTTGTGAGATGTGAAGGCCTAAAGCTGTCATCCTAAACCCACTTACTGGAGAGTAAACCCCATTGAACACTGAAGTGCTTACTTTGGAGTAAACAGACGTAGGATTCAACAGAAGTGTAGAGTTTTTAGAGTTTGAAGGGACCTGGGACTTCACCGGATTCCACCACAGCAGAAGGCCATCAAGCCTCCAGCCGTGGAGAGACCCCTAGTCCCACCCCGGGGATTTCTTCAATTGTTGAACAGCTCTTACTATCAAAAGTGTCTTTTAACACTTAACTTTGGGCTGCGATTTTTATCCAAATAACAAGAATTCTCTGCACACAGAAAGGTAACTTGTAGCTTTAAAAGGGCTTTAGCTCAACCTCTTTTCTGACATGCTAGTTTCCTCTGTGCAAGGTGAGTCCCAACCTGCACTCTATAGTGGCAGAGTCCGGATAAAGCGAGAACTAGGAATCAGCTAAGTAAATCTCAAGTTGATCTGGTCCCATAATTTGTATTTAATTTAGACTTCAATAGCAACTTTGTGGCCAAGTTGATATCGCTGCATTAATATTGATGTTGATTATCCTTATCATCAAAGATTCTAACATGTACGACATGGTTGTTGTTGTTGTTTAGTCGTTTAGTCATGTCCGACTTTTTGTGACCCCCTGGACCAGAGCAAACCAGGCACTCCTATCTTCCACTGCCTCCCGCAGTTTGGTCAAACTCATTCTGGTAGCTTCGAGAACACTATCCAACCATCCCGTCCTCTGTCGTCCCCTTCTCCTTGTGCCTTCCATCTTTCCCAACATCAGGGTCTTTTCATAGAATCATAGAATCATAGAGTTGGAAGAGACCACAAGGGCCATCGAGTCCAACCCCCTGCCAAGCAGGAAACACCATCAGAGCACTCCTGACATATGGTTGTCAAACCTCTGCTTAAAGACCTCCAAAGAAGGAGACTCCACCACACTCCTTGGCAGCAAATTCCACTGTCAAACAGCTCTTACTGTCAGCAAGTTCTTCCTAATGTTTAGGTGGAATCTTCTTTCTTGTAGTTTGGATCCATTGCTCCGTGTCCACTTCTCTGGAGCAGCAGAAAACAACCTTTCTCCCTCCTCTATGTGACATCCTTTTATATATTTGAACATGGTTATCATATCACCCCTTAATCTCCTCTTCTCCAGACTAAGCATGCCCAGCTCCCTTAGCCGTTCCTCATGAGCCATCGTTTCCAGGCCTTTGACCATTTTGGTTGCCCTCCTCTGGACACGTTCCAGTTTGTCAGTGTCCTTCTTGAATTGTGGTGCCCAGAACTGGACACAGTACTCCAGGTGAGGTCTGACCAGAGCAGAATACAGTGGCACTATTACTTCCCTTGCTCTAGATGCTATACTCCTATTGATGCAGCCCAGAATTGCATTGGCTTTTTAGCTGCCGCGTCACACTGTTGGCTCATGTCAAGTTTGTGGTCAACCAAGACTCCTAGATCCTTTTCACATGTACTGCTCTCAAGCCAGGTGTCCCCCATCTTGTATTTGTGCCTCTCATTTTTTTTACCCAAGTGTAATACTTTACATTTCTCCCTGTTAAAATTCATCTTGTTTGTTTTGGCCCAGTTCTCTAATCTGTCAAGGTCGTTTTGAAGTGTGATCCTGTCCTCTGGGGTGTTAGCCACCCTCCCAGTTTGGTGTCATCTGCAAATTTGATCAGGATGCCCTTGAGTCCATCATCCAAGTCGTTGATAAAGATGTTGAATAAGACCGGGCCCAAGACAGAACCCTGTGGCACCCCACTAGTCACTCTTCTCCAGGATGAAGAGGAACCATTGATGAGCACCCTTTGGGTTCGGTCAGTCAGCCAGTTACAAATCCACTGAGTGGTAGCATAGTCAAGACCGCATTTTACCAGCTTCTTTACAAGAATATCATGGGGCACCTTGTCAAATGCCTTGCTGAAATCAAGGTAGGCTACATCCACTGCGTTCCCTTCATCTACCAGGCTTGTAATTCTGTCAAAAACAAGATCAGGTTAGTCTGACATGACTTATTTTTCAGAAATCCATGCTGACTATTGGTGATCACAGCATTCCTTTCTAGGTGCTCACAGACTGTTTGCTTAATGATCTGCTCCAGAATCTTCCCTGGTATTGATGTCAGACTGACTGGGCGGTAATTATTTGGGTCCTCTCTTTTCCCCTTTTTGAAAATAGGGACAACATTTGCCCTCCTCCAGTCTGCCGGGACTTCGCCTGTTCTCCAGGAATTTTCAAAGATAACTGCCAGTGGTTTTGAGATCACATCTGCCAGTTCTTTTAATACTCTTGGATGCAGTTCATCTGGCCCTGGAGACTTGAATACATCTAAACTAGCCAAGTATTCTTGTACTATCTCCTTAGTTATTCTGGGCTGTATTTCCTCTGCTGAATCATTTGCTCCAAATTCTTCAGGTCGGGCATTGTTTTCTTTATCGGAGAAGACTGAGGCAAAGAAGGCATTGAGGAGTTCAGCCCTTTCTGTGTCCCCTGTTTGCATTTCACCATCTTCTGCTCTGAGTGACCACACTGTTTCTTTGTTCTTCCTTTTGCTACGAACATACCCATAAAAGCGATTTTTGTTGCTGTTAACCTCTCTAGCAAGCCTGAGTTCATTCTGTGCTTTAGCTTTTCTGTGTTTGTGTCTACACGTGCTGGCTATTTGTTTGAATTCCTCTTTGGTGGTTTCCCCCCTTTTCCATTTTTTGTACACATCCTTTTTAATCTTAACTCAGTTAAAAGTTCTTTAGATAGCCACCCTGGCTTCTTTAGGCACCTTCCATGTTTCCGTCTCATTGGTATTGCCTGAAGTTGTGCTTTTACTATCTCCCTCTTAACAAACTCCCAGCCATCATGAACTCCCTTTCCTTTTAGTATTACTGTCCATGGGATCTCACCCAGCACTTCCCTAAGTTTTATGAAGTCAGCTTTCTTAAAGTCAAGAAATTGAGTCCTAGTATGCTTGGCTGCTCCTTTCCGCTGTATAGTAAACTTCAGAAGAGCATGATCACTCGCGCCTAATGATCCTTCCACTTCTACCCCACTAACCAGGTCATCAACATTGGTTAGGACCAGATCTAAAATGGCTGTTCCTCTTGTTGCTTCTCCCACTTCTGGACAATGAAGTTGTCTGCAAGGCCAGTGAGGAATCTGTTTGACCTTATGCTCTTGGCTGAGTTTGACATCCAACAAATATCTGGGTAATTGAAGTCCCCCATTACTATCTCCCTTCCTTTTGCATGCTTGGCCATCTGTTCCAGGAAGGCATCATCTATGTCCTCCGTTTGGCTTGGGGATCTATAGTAAACTCCCACAATGAGTTCTCCTGCTTAGCTTCGGTTTTGTGCCTCCAAGTTCCAGAGTTTAAAGTTTTAAAGCTTTTCTACTCTGCCAAAGTATCAATCTGTCAAATTATATCTCTGTCTGACTGTCAACTTGTATCTTAAAGTTACCCGAAGAACAACTTGAGACAACTATAGCCAATATGTATCCAAAAGAAAAAGAGTCTCTTAAAACTGAAAGTTGCTAAAAAATCTCCATTGGCTGCAGTTACTATGCTCTGCTCCCATTCACAAAAAGTCCCCTTGCAGAGCCTGTCCACAGAAATCGGAAGCTGACTTCCTTTTTGGCTTCCATTTTACCAAATCAATTAATTTACACCTAATTTCTTCTTTTTGAAGCTTTATTTGGTTTTAAACCTCTAATTGGAAAATCCACTGCTTATGGTGACGGCATGTGGCTTCGGCTGTAGGGTGCGATGGAGCCGTGAGCTGACTCAAGCCTCTTCCCTTCCCCCCTCGCAGAAACAGCGATGGGCAGGTCTGGGTTGCGGCGAGTTCTCCGACGCTCTGCTGGACCCCTGGAGTCCCCACTTGTGTGGGGGGTTTTTTCGGGGGGGTGCCTAAGGATTACTGAAGTATTGAATGTCAATTTCTTAGAACTTAGCATAAGAAATATAAAATGCTAAGCAGTAGTAGCAGAGAAATGTTACTTCTGTGTAAATAAGCAGTTGTATACGTCTCTAGATTTAGGTTCCAGCAGAAATGTTATTGTGTGCATTTTCTGCCTTCATCTGTTTCATATTATGTAAAGTATTCATATTTTGCTCAACTCTAAGCAAAAGGGTTCCTAGAGCCATTCTAGAGCCAAAGACCATTCATAAGGCAGCCTCTGTCCTTGGACTTACAATCTAAAAGACGTGACACAAAAGGATTGGGCGTAAAGAGTGAGACCGTGACACACACACTCACCGCACTAGCTCTTACTTAAAAAGCTCTCATGGTGGAATAGAAGCAGTGGCAGGACACGAGGAGCCAAGTGTTGCAAGACTTTCAGCTGAGCTTTGCTTCTCTCCCTTGATTTGCAGCCTGCTGGAATGGCATAGTATCCTAGAAATACCCAGCTTTGTACAGAAAATGTTAAAGGTTTGTTCCTTCTTGGACTCGAAAGGTTTGAACCTTTCAGACTTCATTACTGAGAGCCATTCTGTACATTACATTCAGAGTGAGATGGTAAACCAAGCTGAGAGGATTCTGGACTGCGGCACTTCAGCCTGTAGGAGGATTTCTTGCACTTTGTGGTGCGTTTCCCAAAGTAAAACCTTCTGCATGTGGTTAAGCTACATCAGGAAATAGATGATACAGGTAAATCTTTATATGTGATATGTTGGCTTTCTATATGCAGGTAGTTTCCCTTTTGCTTTTCTTGGCAGGGCTGGCAGCAGATAAAATAGGATGAGTCCATCTGAAGTGGTGCTGTTCAGAATTCTACTGCTTGACTCTGTGATGTGGCCGTTGGAGCTCAGAGCAGCCGCACTGTCTCCCTTGCTGTCTCATTTCTAATTCTAATTCACCTGTTTGTTTGGTTTTGCCACAGATTATTACCAAGCAAAGAAGCAGATCAGAACGGATATGCAAACTCCTGTAAAGAAACCGGCCTTCTAGAATGGAACTTTGTCACTGGTTTGCTGGTTTTGTTGGCTGGTTGATTTTTTAAAGGAGCTTCCAAAATTATACAACATCTTGAAATGGTGCATTTAAATAATGAACACTTGGGCACTTCACACAGAGGCACAGGTTTTTGAAATAAAAAAATGTGAACTTTCAGAACATCAGAATGCAGTTAGGCCGATTACGTTGTATACCCTCTTCCTGCATACTGCTTTAAAAAATAAGAGGAAGAGGAGGAAGCAGATAACCAAGCAAGAAACAGACTAATTGTAGCCGTAGTAGCACCTCAAAGGATGTTGCTTATCAGGAATTGGTCAGCATAAGAGTAAATATAAAAAATACTGTGTATGAACAATTTGTGAGTGCCATTATATGGTCTTGCATACTATGTGTTGTCAGCTTTTTACTTATTTAATTACTATATAGACTTGCATGTCAGTGTGATCATTAATAATATTTTTCCAGCTAACTGAATCCCCCCCCCCCCCGCTTTTAACATTTTAAGTAAGCATAACAAATCCTTAATTTGGCTTGTATAAATGTTTGCCACTATTTTGCATATAAAAGTTATTTATGCAGATATACACAGATCTCCTGCCAGCAGTTGTCCTTGGTATCTGTGTCCAAACAGAGTCCATTAATATTGAAATCCTGGAATAGCAGTTACATCTGAACTATACAGTCAGCAGAATCGTGGTTCATCTCTTGCTGGACACCCACTGTTACAGACTGCATGCCATATGTACAACTCACTGCTTAGAGAAAATTAGCATGCCAGGGAGAAGGGTTCTAACTTAACATTCTTTTTGCCATGCTACATTTTCTACATCTTACAATAGCACATTCCTACATGATATTTTACCTGTAGGCTGCCACTGGACTGTGTGATTAGTTGAATGTGTAGTTCTGCTTTAGGTTTACAGTACTGACCTTACCCATGTCCAGCCTTCATCTTATTCACTCCTTCTAGAGGCTCAACAGAAAAAGATTTTTTGTCTCCAAGTATGTTATGCTAATGTGTCTTAATTCTCTAGGGATACTAGGCTTGCCACTGGTGTGCACTTGAAGAGGATTCCTGTGCATTTAATAGATGTTTACTGGTTTGCTAAACATACTTTCCCCATGACTGTATTGAGAGTTGCTGTACCTCCATACACCTCTCTCCTGTGCAGCTATAAAAGGCACATGTAGGATAGGATAGATGGAGCACATTAGGAGCAGTTGAGTTTCATAGTCTTATTTAGTTACCTGTCTTACAGCCCAGAATTTCTTCTCATTTCAAAATGATTCGGGCACTGTTTGTTTTAATTAATTGTCCTCTTATATTTTCTTACTTCTTACTTTGCAGCTTCCATTGCATCTGCTAGCTCTCGCCCAGCACAACTTTTTAGAATAATTAGGTCGATAAGGTCCTTAGGAGGACAACCAAATTTAAGCACAAATTTGACCCACAGCCATGAGGCATTTGGGAGCTTTTTTGCGGAGAAAGTCCTGTGGCTCCGCCGTGACCTCCCTGCCAATTTAGATACAGTGACTGAACTAGAGGCCCCTTGACTGTCTTTGGGTCCAGTGTTGGACCATTTCGATCGGATACTCCCTGCTGATGTGTATAGATTCCTCCAAGCTGGTAGGCCCACCATCTGCCTCCTCGATCCGTGCCCCTCTTGGCTGATTAGGGCGTGTCCATATTTCACACGGACCCCCCTGGTTGAAATTATCATTTGTCCCTTGGCAGGGGGACATTCCCAGGGGAACTGCTCTTAAAGAAAACTTCACTAGATCCTTTGTTGTTGTTTAGTCGCTTAGTTGTGTCCGACTCTTCGTGACCCCATGGACCAGAGCACAAGATGTCCTGAACTGTGTGTGTTTATGTAACTTTGTGTGGTGGTATGTTCATTGTTTGTCCTAACACTCTGGATTATTATTCAAAAATAAATAAAAGTTGTAACTATTTGTGCTGAATCAACTAGCATTCATGAAAAAGATGTCCTGGGAATGGGTGAGACGTTCATAAAGTATTGTGCCACTCTCCTGTTCTGCCTTTCTCTGGAAAGAAAGATGGCAATTCAAACCTAGCAGGTGTGACATGCAACTTTGAACAGCTGTAGTAACTGCACTGTATAGTTGCAGAACTCTCCAAAGTTTGATTTGAAATCTACCCTTGAAGAGTTTGTAGTCTAATGCAGAAGAGACTGCCATTCATTAAATTATACTGAATTAATTCTGTATCATTAATAAAAACCCTGATCCTAACTACATTTACCTGGAAGTAAGTCCCCTTGTGAGACTTACTGGCAAGTAGGCATGTGCCCAAGTATGCACACTTACTGAGGAGTAAGCCCATTGAACTCAATGGGACTTGCAAACCAATATCCTAATAATAACAATAATAATAATAATAATAATAATGTATTTATACCCTGCCCATCTGGCTGATTCATCCAGTATTAAAAGCTTCCCTAGACAGGGCTGCCTTCAGATGCCTTCTAAAAGTCCGATAGTTGTTTTTTTCCTTGACATCTGATAGGAGGGCATTCCACAGGGCAGGTGCCACTACCAAGAAGGCCCTCTGCATGGTTCCCTGTAACCTCACATCTCGCAGTGAGGGAACTGCCAGAAGGCCCTCAGCGCTGGACCTCAGTGTCTGGGCAGAACGATGTGGGTGGAGACGCTCCTTCAGGTATACTGCCAAACTAAATATTATTAAGGGAAAATAATTTTGAAATACTTGCTTTTTTCTGTCCAATAGTAAGGGTTTGGGGAAGAGACTCCACAAGGTACATTAGAAAAATATCTGCTCACCGGTCCGGTGGTGGGTGAGGTTTGCGGCCTGATACGCAGCCCCGTCGTCCTCCTGCAGCTATGCCACTCCAGCGGCTGTTGCTCCGCCCCTTGGTTTCCATGAAGCTTTCCAGGTTACCGCCAAACCCTTTTCAAATTGACCTATCCAATCTTGCCTGGGGGGCCGGGCAAGAAGAGCGGACCATGACTGAGCAAGCTTCACTCCAGTCCACTCCAAAAGTCCGCTCCAAAAGTCAGCAGCGGAGTCAGCCCCGGAGCGTCACCCCAGCTAGCCCTCCCTCTAATTGTAGTTTTTCTTTCAGGCTGACCTTTTTCCTTTCCAGGTCCATGGGCATTGCTACGGTCGGATGATAGTTGCTGTTTTTCAGAGCAAGGAAGGAATTTCCCCTGTTCTGCAGGTTTTGCTTTCCCCATAGCAATTGTCACAACTTTGGTGTTTTTAGGCCTTGGGCGGAATCCTTTAGTCCAGCAATCAAGGAAGGGGTAGTGTGGTGACTGACACCTTTTGTGGCGGTGATATCAGGGTTCTCTGTTAGAGGGGTCTTGAGGGGAATGTCTCTGACCACAAGTGCACAGCAATGCAGGAGGGGGGCAGCTGTTTAAACACATGTTTTGCTGTGTCCCCATATTCCCTATTGACCCTGTCTTGCCTCTGACCCCCAGCTGGGGGCTGAGAGAGATATACGCCCAATGCCTAAGCAAAGGTTTCCTACATCTGAAATTTAATAAAGTTGTGACCATTTTAATCCCAAATATGCTGTCATGTGTTTTCCTCGACCTGAGGTCTGGCTCACGGAGGGGGTGGTCTGCGACTGGGTGTGCAAAGAAAGTTGCATCAAGACATTTTGATGTCACTTTTCTCTGAAAAGGTCAAGAATGGTGTCATCTGTATTAGCTTATGTGCTCTATGTAGAGAACATGTATTATGGCAGCAATTAATACCCAGCCAGATGGGCGGGGTATAAATAATAAATTATTATTATTATATTATTATTATTATTATTATCTCTGTTCTCCAAAACAAGGTCCTTGTTTCTGCTGCTGCTTTTAACCACATTAGCCTTTAAAATGTGGACCATTAACTGTATTTAACAACTGATGTGGAAAATCAAAAGTGAATCTTTTAAAACAGACGTTCTAGAATATTACAAATGCACGAGTAGAGTATAGGAATAAATTCATTTAGAAGGATTGCCCTATTTGCAATATATTCCTGGCAAATGTATTTCCTCAGCGATAAACCCTGTTGAGTTCGTTGGAGTTACTCCCTCTAGTAAGTGTGATTGGAATTGCAGCATCTGAAAGTTTCAGAAACCTGATCCAGGTATTAAAAGTTGCTTTCTTCTTTACCCTTAAATTCAAAGATAGTGACTCTTTTCTTTGTGAAGGGTGCAAAGTGTATGTAACATTTGCTATGAATGATACATTATATAAAGTGTTTGTATATATAGTAAATAGATTTTAGGTGCAACACTGTGCATGTTTTTTCATAATATTTAGAAATGATGAATCTACTGTTAGTCTGTCTTGCTTTAGCAGAGTTTACAGCAAAACCACAATTCAGATTAGAACAGTGTTTCTCAAACTTGAGTTCCAGCAGGAGTTGTTGGACTACAGCTCCCATCATCCCTAGCTAGCAGAACCAGTAATCAGGGATGATGGGAGTTGTAGTCCAACAGTTGGGGACCCAAGTTTGAGAAAAACTGGATTAGAACTAAATTCAGAAATCTTGTCTGAAATTGTCCATAAATTGGGTTACAGTTTGTCGTAGTTCCATTAACAGCCAGCATACTGACCCTATCCTCATTTGCAGTCTCTGAGTCTGACGCTGAAGGGCTCTCTTTGGTGTCACACTTTAGTGCTTGTCAAAGACACAGCTTCTGGCTGCCAGTGATGATTACTGTGAAGGAAAGGCACTAGGTCAGTGTGAGAGGCCTGTGGTGGCTCCCTATGGCTGACAGAAGGAATTAGTCCAGTCTGGATAATGAAGGTCAGTCAACAGCTGGGGGAGGAATGGGTGGGATTGCTTTCTGCCTTGGTTCCTCTTGCTGTCCTAGTGGCTGATGGAGAGGTCCCAGCAGTGGTGTTGTAAAACTGTCAAGTTGCCATAGAAAGCTTTCTAAAGTTGCTTTAGAAAATCTTGGCAGAGAGGAAATTGCAGATTGAGTAATGCATGAAACTAGAGCACTAGA